TTTTTTCACGGCTTTCACGGCTCTTTCGCTTGGATACCTCAGTGGTATCCCGGGGATACAGAAAAATTTTTCCGATTGATTAAGCTCCAGGCTGGCAGGCTGCAGTCTTCTGCGCTATTTAAGAGAATTTGTTACTCTTTTTTTTTTTTTTTTCATGAGAAGAATTTGTAACCTTGAGGGGTGTTTGGTGGAGCTTCCTAAATATCTCAGTTTTTAGATACTATTTTTATTTTATAAATTTAGAATTTTTTTTAAAAAAAATTATAAATGGTAAAAGATTATAAATTTTAAATTTAAATTTTTTATAAATTTTTTTACTCATTATTTATTTATTTTTTTTATCTCTAAAAATAATTTTAAAATTTTTTTTCTAATAAAAATTTAAATTTATCACCTATAAACAATATTTTAAAAGTAAAAACTAACAACAAACTCCACCAAACAAACTCAAAGTATTCCTATTTTGTACTATTTTGACAACAAAATAGAAAAAGACATAAACCGCAAAACATGGACCAGGTGGAAGGCCCAAGGTCGAAGTTAAATTGTAAGTTTTTTTTATTTTTTTTTTACAAGTATAATAATTAAAAAGTTAGTATGAGTTAGTTGTTAATAATTGGTTCTCAAATTGGTTGAACATTCCACCTCTCAAATGAGGCACACGGCCATCATACTGCTTTTTGATGGAGTTCACAACAGTAGTGAAACTCAAAACTTCAACCACCTCACCAAACACTTAAAGTTTAGAGTCGAACCATTAGATTTAAAATCCAGTTGAAACTATAAGTATTTTTTATAACTCCAAACTCATGAATGTGTAAATGTGTGCAGTATATAAAAAGTAGGAATTGAGCTCATAACTTCGGAATTGTGGGGCTTCAGTTTTTAATTTTTAGGTACGGTTTTTTCTAGCATGTTGCTTAAAAAGCACATGTTAAGAGTTTTTTTTTTTTTTTTATTTATACGAAAAACTATAAAAATAAATTTTACTAATAAATTTTAAGAACCTAATCAAAAGGAGACTCTTGAGTCTTCTCCAAAAAAAAAAAAAAGGAGACTTTATTATTGTTTGTTAAGTTTAGAATTTAAAAAATCCAATTCTAATGGAAGAATAGTTGAATGCGAGAAGGAAAATAAATAATTAAATGGAGTTAATTACTTAAAAGAATTAAGTATAATAGCTACTCAGAGCACTTTTTTTTTTAATCTAAAATGTTTAATTAAATACATTTTATTTAATTTTTAAGACAAACAAATCTATATACTAAATTTAGTTAACTTTAAAATTTTAAGGTAAAATTATTTTTTTAATATTTTAGGAGGCCTGGCCCAGCCCTCCTTATCTTTGCGATTGAGGAGTAAAGGTGTAATAAAAGATGTTAATTTTATGAAATTTTGTATTTAAATGTATTAATTTTATTAATTTTTAAATAAAAATATAAA